CCCCATCTCTACTAAACATACAAAAAATTAGCCAGGCCTGGTGGCACAAGCCTGTAATCCCAGCTACTTGGAAGGCTGAAGCAGGAGAATTGCTTGAACCCGGGAGGTAGAGGTTGCAGTGAGCCAAGATGGCGCCATTGCACTCCAGCCTGGGTGACAGGGTGAGATTTTGTCTCAAAAAACAAAACAAAAAACAGGCCGGGCGCGGTGGCTCACACCTGTAATCCCAGCACTTTGGGAGGCCAAGGCGGGCGGATTAAGAGGTCAGGACATCAAGACCATCCTGGCTAACACGGTGAAACCCAGTTTCTACTAAAAATACAGATACAAAATTAGCCGGGCGTGGTGGCGGGCGCCTGTAGTCCCAGCTACTCAGGAGGCTGAGGCAGGAGAATGGCCTGAATCCGGGAGGCGGAGTTTGCAGTGAGCTGAGACCGCGCCACTGCACTGCAGCCTGGGCGACAGAGCGAGACTCCGTCTCAAAACAAAACAAAAACAAAATCCTTTCCCTCCCTGCAAATTGTTGAGTTTACCCTATTGAACTCCCACAGCTGACTGTGCTGAATATACTCCCACCAGAGCACTTCTGGAATGGAGACAGGGTCTCCAGTTTTTGGAGATAGAGTCTTGCTCTGTTGCCCAGGCTGGAGTACAGTGGCATGATCATAGCTCACCGCAGCCCCAACCTCCTGGGCTGAAGCAATTCTCTTGCCTCAGCCTCCTGAGTAGCTGGGACTACAGATGCATGCCACCAGTCCTGGCTAATTCTTTTTTATTTTTTAATTCTTTTTTTTTTTAGAGATGGGATCTCACTATGTTACCTGGTTTCAAGTCCATTGGGCTTACCTATTTATTACATTCCGGAAGTACTGTGGTGGGGGGATAGTCAGCACAATCAGCTTTGGGAATTCAATAGAATAAACTCACAATTTGCGGATAGGAAAGGAATTTTTGAACGGGTCTTTGACAGATGCATAGGAGTTTGCTGGATGGAGTAACAGCTTCAGGCCCAACGCACAGCTTCTGAGAAATCCCCATGTTAAAAGTCTATTCTCAAAGGTAGGAAGGTGGTGGAAAAGCCTAGAAATTTTTGTTTGGAGTACTGACGACAGATAGGGAGCCGAAATTCTTGTCTGGTCCCTTTGGTAGGTGGAGAAACAGGTTCAAAGAGATTTGAAAGTTTACACCGTTTGTATTGTTAACTTCTTCATTTTGAG